TTGGTCAAATTAAAGTTTCCAATCACCCGTGCTCCTCTTCCTCCGGTTTTTATGATACTGTCCTCACCGTACCCCCTTGAGGTTCCTATTGCTTCTATCCTGTAATCACCATTGCGTGGCACTGTCCACAGTTGAATACCGCTAAACAATGTTACTTGTCTGTCGTGGTCTTGATAATTGTAATGACTACCAATCGAGTCTGGACCCGCTGATCCAATCTTACTAACACAGCTGTAAACCCTGCGTAAAACCATGCATACAATAAAAGTAATGTTGTTGGTAAGAAATTGTAAACATTTTCTTTGCCATTTCCATTTAGAAAGTAGAAATCCTTGATAGTCGGACATTGACTTACTTCACTGCATCTGAGGATTACATTCGACATTGTTATATACCTAGACTCTTACTCAACAAAACGAGCACTGTCATTGGTTAATTCTTGGTCACATGCCCCTGATCAAATTCAAATATATCCTGACCGGGACACAATTGCGCAGTTGTTGCCCGCACCGAATACTCTCATAGCCAGGAGACTGTAAACACTAAACGCAGCAGCATTTTCGGTAGCAAATGTTACCATCAATTTTACAATTCCAAATGATTTTTTTTTTTTATTGAGGTTATAAAAGCCTATTTTACTTTTTTGTTCTTCGAAACATTTGTAATAAAATTAAGACTTATTCATTCAGCAGGATTGACGATTGTGAATAAAGAAGTTGTGCAGTCTTTGTTTTTAGTTTTTTTTCTGCCATATGATTGTTAAAGGAAAGTCTAAATATATAACAAAGCACTTACTGCATGGTCCCTCGGGAAACTAATTAGTCTTGTTTTCCCTCGAGTCCTGATGACACTTCTTTGGCTTTTCTAGACATCAAAATTTCAATTGAAGGCAACGGTTTATGCACTAGTGTTTACTACAAACCTACAGATTCACGTAGTTACTCGTTGTATTCATCTTCACATCCATCTCACGTCAAGAACTTCATACCTTTTTCACAGTTTCTCAGACTTCGTCGTTTATGTAATGACGACTCTGATTTTTCCGAAAAATCAGAGGCAATCTGCCAGTTTTTCGGTAAGCAGTACAAACGGCTGAGAAGGAAAATGCTGACCGGATTCCATTTACTCTTACATTTCATCCTCACAACCACGCAGTTAAATCTATCATTCTTAAAAATTTTAAATTACTCCAAAACGATTCAGAGACTGGCACTGTCGTTTCGCAAACCCACACTTATTTCATTCAAACGTGACAAAAACATAGGCAACTTTTTAGTCAGGAGTTCATTTCAAACCAATGACCAATCTGAAACTTTCAAATGCGCTCGCTCACGATGCAAAACTTCAGTGTTCTTTCATTCATAACGTAGAGAAAATATCGGGACCCAAGAGATCCAATAAGATCATTGATCACTTTACGAGTACCTCCGCCAATGTTATTTACTACATAACTTGCACTTATTGCAATAAGTTATACATCGGCGAAACAGGAAGACGACTAGGTGACCGATTCCGAGAACACCTTCGCGACGTGGAAAAAAATGACAAGGACGCATCCAAACCAGCATATGGCAGTTTGCGGCCTACTGATCCTTACAACTGCCTAGTTCGGAAAGCCGTAAAACACTAGAACAAAAATTTATCTTCCAAATCGGCACCCTTAATCCCCACGGAATGAACTAGCGCTTTTCATTCAACTAATTTATTCCTTATATTAAAGTTCATTTATTATGTTAAAGTTCATTATTCCTGTTTTCTTGTCACCATATTCCCACCGATGGCGTAGCTCCACTTTCTACACGTAAACCCACACACAACCCACAATTCCTCCAATCGCTCTGACGAAGGGCTAACACTCGAAACGTCAGCTTTTTCTACCCTTTACGGTGGCTAATTTACGTTTCAACTCAGTTGTTAACACTAAATTACCTGCTATACTCTCCCACCGACGCAGCACCACAGTTTCTTTAGAAACTTACCCCTTTATTCATTCTACAACTTATGTAGCCGTTTTGGTTTTTTTATCTATCAGCACAATTTTGAAGAATTTTGTCGCGCCAGTCGACAAACATCTACCGAGAATATTTTCTTTCAATTTACCTTGTAAGATGCTATCATTCCACTACAAAATTCTGTGACTGTGTGCTTGGTAGGTGTAGTCGATCATGTAGTTGTTTATCATGCATAACACTGGAACAGGCTTCCCAAAGCGAGCAATCATGTCTAATTAACGACAAGGATAGCTATGTCTCTTTAGAAAAATGCAAAGAGCTTCCAATCCGCTGCAGATACTTCTTTGATAGCACTCCACTATCTCAGGAATCCCCAATACTTCAGCCAGAAATGGTAAGTCGTTCTTGTAGAAGCGAAAAACTGAAAGGCAATCGTCGTTTTCCAAATCATCGAAGTCAAAACCAGGATAAGAATTGTACGGAAGATCAACATTATCGGACCTGTTTAAATCGTACAGGAGTAGAAGTTCCTCATCGTTTATCACACCATCATCGTGGCTAATCAAAAGTTGATTACGAACTTCTTTCAGACATCATGAGCGGAAATTCCCGCCCCAACGGCGTTATCTCCCCAGTCTTTTGCGGGTTTTGGGGTCCCCGTCGCCGTCCCTATTCTCGTTTCTTAAAGTCCCTAGTTACTTTCTAGAGTTTAATTTTAGATTCTCTGGAAAATCGCGTCTTCTAGGAAACACAGACATAGACATGCCATTTCTCTGCACGTTCTCTGTTGATGTCTCCAATGCCAATAAAATTTAACATGTTGAGATTACTAAGAGACTCAAGACGCAATTTAATATCAATTAAAGTTAAAAATATGTGTTAACTGCAAGCTGTGGTTTTAAACCTTTGCAAATTATGCTATTCTCACGGCTTCCTGTTTTAGCAGACAATCACTTGGAATGATAACACTTCCATGACAGCTTGTAAGTTGACATCAAACATCCCTCATGGTACAGGCCTATTTCAAACTTGATTCATAACTCAGTCTACAATTAGCTTTAATCCCTCAAAAACGTCCTCGTTGAGGAAAACTTTGACCATTTATATATCTATCCCTGCTTTTTCAACACAGGTGCTGATATCTGTAATGCCAAATAAATTTTATGGCCTAGGCTTATTTGCGTATCCTGCAGGGCCACTTAAAAAGAACCAATAATTGCAAATGGGCAACATTGTATGTCGACAAACATACCATCACAGGAAAGACTTATCTTAACACTACGTTTGTGGGAGAAAAAAAACTTTTCGGCCTTTTGTAAAAGATTTTTGATCACGTCCCTCTGAAATACCTAACCTCCGACGTTAATCTGTTCAAGTTTTGGTCATGACCTGATGTTCATTCATTCAATTTTAATTTGAGAATGTGATCGCTGACGCTAGTTTTGTGGCACTAATGTCTAAAAACAACAGATGTCACTTATAATAGAAATTCTGTGACGGTGACGCAATCTATTAGAAAACATTAATCATGAAGGTATGTACATATCATAGATTAAACATTACCAAGTTGAGTAATGAACGTCGGCGGTTGACAGCAACGTTTGCCAAATGTAACTTACACAAATGAAACACTTAATATACCTATTATAATTTTACTCAATGCACCATATATGTATATATGTATTTTTTTTTTTTGGGGGGGAGGGAACTTCGGAGAAGGTTCCATCCTATTTATGTTGCTAATTTTAGCCTTTTACCCCACGAATTTGGTGTGGGGCTCTAATACCCCAGGGATAAGCCGGGAGCCCGAACCACCCTGGATTCTTGAATAACTTAGTGACCCTAAAGAAATCGGTGAGATGGTATGTGTCACGCTTGCCCGGTCTCTCTTTTAAAAGGAAGCACACTTCTTTACCTTCCTTTCTTTTATGCAGACTCGTCTAAGCAGAGGCAAAGGCTGCGAAGAAAAGTTATCAGTAGAGCTATTCGCTAAAAACAACCGAGTGCGACTACAGTCAACTTGTTGGTGATACCAGTAGCGTGGTACCCGAGAAGATTGAGAAAGGGGAAATCCCATGACAGTAGCCTGATAACTCTAACAATACTGGTAAGCCACAATCATTTTTGAGCATTGATCGTATCGCTGTAGAGTATTCTTTCTCAGTGAAAACCAATTGGATGACATTCCAGTCCCTTTCAGTATCAAAAGAGCAGTGGTAAGAAAGGCAAATTAAAGTTCAGCAATTAAGCGAAGAGCTGCTGTTGATCAAAAAAGAGATGACTGGATTTATGTCCTTCTACAAAGATGGAATCTTATCGTAAATCCAAAACCAGAAAACTGTACTGAAAGCTTGGTAAATGTAACGTTTTGGTGCTGTTCCGTGGTTTACACGTGAATTCAAAACAAAATAGAAACCAACAAAAAGCCTCTACAGGAAAAGTCGTTCTTTGTTGACACATTGCAACAACATTTTTCAACTTATCGTGTTCAGTTAGCACTTAGTCTTTTGTAAGCTAGGATCATAGTGTCAATCGCAATCGGCAGGTTGCTTATCTTGTTCATTTCCAGTGGGTGTCAGTCTTAACCTTTACCAGATTCAAGACTGTGTTATGGTAATGATTCCAAAAGAGGGTTTCCTTTTTTTATTTTTATTTTTTTTAAATTTAGGTATCAGGTAGTTCTGGATCGATTTTCAGATCCGCTGTGGACCAGAGGAAAGATCTCCTTGTTAGAAGAAGGAAGGAACTTTGCTTTAAAGAAAATTGCATCAGGGTTGAATTACTTTGTCCCTGTTTTATCGGAGGAACTAGATTCCTTCCGAGAATTAGTTGTGCGAAGACAATTAAGAAGCAGAACCTACTGACACCTGGTTGGCAAACGCAGAGGACGAGGAGGAGGCAGACCAATTAAATCAGTAAAGAAAAAGGAACTACGAAGGCTTTTGACCCGGAATTCTATATAGAGAGGAGTTATGAAAGATCGTCGATGAATTGCAAGCATTCCCCCCTTAAAATGCCTTAACTTTTAGTATGGATATCTGTGTTTAGCAGTTCCCTCAAGAGATAAGCCAGAGCACCTTCAACGGATGCAATGAAATTAATGCTTGTAGCTTAATTTTTCTTCTTGTTGCGTATATTTTCTTTAGAAATGGAATTAAAATTCCTGATCTAGGACCCCTTCCGCACGATATATTTAGGATGCTTTGTGCCTGTATAGATTTAGGAAATAGGAGGTTTGCCGGGACAGTCTACCCAAGAGATATCTCTCCGTACCAGAAGCTGCCACCATGTTGTCCTTTGCAAATATTTCTGTGACAGAACCCTTACCTGTTAGACTAGAAGATGACCACGTACTGTCCACAGCATGTGGTCAGCTATATAACCTTAAGGTTGACAGAACGTATTTCCTAGACATTATTTCAAACGGGAAGACCTCTTTATTTATGGTAACTTCCCCGCGGATAATGTATATTAATACGCATGGTCAAGGAGCTTATGGTGCTGTAATTGTCAAAGGATCCACTTTGAATTTAAGAGCCTTCTGCGATTACTTTTGGGAAATGGAAACCTACCACAAAAGCACTTACAGGAATCTTTCTACTGTAGTGTTTTTTTTAGCCTAGACTATGTTTCTTAAAGGAAACCATTAGCCCAAACAGTCACAGTTATTACCTCCAAAGTGTTCCGTCGTTTTTTTAAAAAGGGCGGAAAAGACTAAGCTATGAATCTTTACCATTTCATTTACCAGTCTAAATTTGGATGGTAGTAATGTTTTTTATCTCTCTTCAGACCACGTGAATTCGTTTTATATCCAATCACAGTTTTTCGTCGCATAAAGAGATCAATTGAGAATGATAAAGATCCCACGACAAGTAGTTCACTCCTTTGTGACAGTTAATGGACATTCAAGTTACTGTATAAAATGGGTACGTACTTGAGTTAGGCGGCTTGTATTAACTGATTTTAACCAGTTCACTTTGTCGTTCCATTTGGCACGGCAACAACTGCTGCTAACAATTAGCTTTGTTCACCTTAGCCTCTTTTAGTAATTCATTCGCTTTGGAAATGCGTCATAAAAGAAATACTTTGAGTGCCGCTCTCGACAAGAGCGGTCCCCTCGACTTCCCGTCGGGAAAAAATTTTCGTTTATTTTTTGCCCATGAAAAGGGTTTAGGATACATATTTCAAAAATAGTGTAGTTGTTCTCGGATAGTTTTTTTTTTTTTTTTTTATCGACACAAGCCAAAAATGATTTTTGGCTAGACCACCCGTGAGGACAGGGATCGAAAGTGAAAATTTCACAGATTTTGTCTAGCGCGCACCGACTGCAGTAATATGGCTCACGGAATTCTATCTTGCTACAAGTTACAAGATGTATTCATTTAGTTCTCAGACAAAATATAAAAACTTCAGCTGAAATAATATTCATACCAGCGTGATCAGAGGAGACCCTTCCCTTCGATCTTAATTTGCATATCAAAAATTCACTAATTTGTACGAAAGAATTCTCAAAATGCAGGCGTTAATCGGGCTAAAAAGGAATATCAGTAAATATTCTTACCAAGGAGCGACTCCTAAAAGCAGTACATTTATTATTTTGAGTAAACTTACTTAATCCCACTACAGACTACAACTGAGCCCACCAATGACACAATATTTGCATCAGGGGTGGGCTATTCCTCTTACAGAAATTTACTCATTTTTCCGTGCAAACACCATTTCTACTCTTCCAATAACTTCAAATCTTAAAATTTTCTTTCAAATCTTATGTTGATTGAAAATGCTTACGTTACTTTTTGGATAATTGTCTTGGTTTATCGGTCTCTTCATTTCTCACTTTATTATCGTAAAGTATTCAAGACTCCGTTATTAACTCGCACATTTTTGTATTTGACGCGTGAAAAGCATTAAATCAAAGATGTTAATTATGGATAGATTTCTCACTGAAAGTTTGAAAGAAATAACTGCCTTTGCCTTTTCTCTGTCGGAATGTTTGTTTTTATAACAGTTTGCAGAGTTTACATTATGTTATTCAGTGTACTCCCGCCTCCGAGTTTGTAATTTAGTTATGCTTTAGTTTGGTTTGGAAATTATAAACTGATCAATCGCCATTTAATCATATGTCAATGATAGGAATTGTTCTATTTAACTTTATCAGAAGTAAAAGAAAGACGTCTGTGAATATTTTAAGACAGAGGCAAAACTCTTCTTCATTTGGACGTTAAGACCATTTCTCAAGCAACCTCTGATCCAGACAGACAGAGCTTTGTTTTCATATTAGGTACTGTTTTCTAATGCAACTATTTAGTGCAGCTGAGGAAAGAAGGGTTTTGACCAATAGGTAACCTAGTTTAGAATGATGTAAGATTAACTGAATCTTAAACTCAACTGAGAGTGACAGAAGATTGCTCAACACAACATGGCTATTTCTACCAAGTAAGCGTGTAAGGCAAAGATGATTAATCCCTGAAACTCGTTGTGGCAAAGTGTTTAAACTGTTAGTCAGTCATATACCGCTGACGTGTATCTAACTACACTATTAAATCCTCGACGTTTGCATACAACTGTTCGTCGTACATTGTCATGTTGATCAGTTTCTGCAGAGAAAAATAAGACAATAATCACCATCATTAAAAAAGTGTTCCTCTTATGTTATGAGCGGTTATCCTTCCTAACCGTCAGCTTTTCTCACCAAAACAAATTCAAGGAGAAAGTGTTTTATGGCTTCGTCGTCTGATACCGTTCATGCGTCTTAATACACTTTTGCAATCATCCTATGATCTTTGAAATAACCATAAAGTGTCAGTTGCCATTGAGAAATTCGAGCGCATTTCTCCGCTGTTTTTCGCGGAGTGCTAGCTACAGTGACATCACAAAAAGATGGAATCGACACTTCGTAAAAATTACAGAGATGAGTACGTATTGTAACCTATCTTGGCTCAATGCTGTTAAGGTTAAAACCCCAGTTAGCTGAGCCTAGACCAGTCGGTTTCACGTGAAAAGAAACTTTCATGTTGATCAAAATTCTAACCTTGTGTAAGTTTTCCATGTCCTTCAGCTGGTTTCTCAATTCAGTGAAGGTTGGTCTTGCATCTGGTTCATTCTTCCAGCATTTCATCATGATCTGATACCTGGAATTGTTCAAATGATCTGTTAGAGATTTAAACAACGTTTCTCAGTACAATAAGAGAGAACGATTTGAAAAAGAAAACTTACAAGTTTTCATCTACATGTTGTGGTTTAGGCATCCTGTATCCATCCTGAAGTAAGTTTGCAATTTTTCTTCCATCCATTCGTGGGTAGGGTGAACCGCCTGAAAGAACCACAAGACCATCGAAATATAATTGTGACGAAAAAACGAACTTTGCTGAAACACCACCTGTGTCTCTTGATGGAGTTTGAGGTTGCATGGGGAAGCTCATCACCTTTGTCTAACTAAACACGTTGCATTGTTTAATTAAACATGTTATATAGCAAAAAAAACATCCACAGAGCCTTATAAACTTCCATTCGATGTTACCTATGGTGAAAATCTCGTACAGCAAAACTCCATAACTCCATCTGCAGAAATAATATGGTAGACTTAAACAGTATATATCACAAATAAAATATATGTATCCTTTGAAAAAGCATAGAATTAATTTCTTGATAAAAATTGATAAAACTTGTTGGAAAACTGCTACGGGTAATACTTACACGTCACTTTTGGTGGTATATTTACCATACAACAAGGCCTCATAAGCTGTCCACTTCACGGGAAGACGGCCCTAAACATTTAAAAATATCACTTTGTGAAGCAGCTCAAAAATGATAGGAAGCGACTAGTCAAAGACAATGATATTCGAAGTTAGACTCGTGTACGCATGGCTAATATTTTTATTGGGGTTCATTCCAAGGAATTCATGATCGAAATCAGGAATATATCAGCTTTAGCACCTTCCCTCTTTCTTGATTACCTTAGTCTTTCGTTCATAAATATTTTCCTTCTGCACATCTCTGGCCATTCCGAAGTCTGTCACTTTACACGTTTCCTTTTGTCCAACCAACACATTGCGGGCCGCAAGGTCTCGGTGAATGATCTAGGAAAGAATTGATGCAACAAAAAGAAATTAGCGATTGCATAAGAAAAAGAACTGAAATGAAATGGTTCAGATAGGAAAATAGTAATATCAAGCAACATGATATGATGTGTGTGTTTTTCTTTCTTCCAGATGGCAGAAAATTAAATTACTATAAACACTGCTCCATATTCCAGAGAGAAGCAAACTACTTTATTTGTGCAATACGCAGTTATTTCATAGAACGCTTATCAGATTTTAATCGAAATAGGATTCTGTAACGTAGCAGATTAACGACCAAAGACGAATTTTTGAATTTCAAGATTTAATTCTTTTTCTTCCTTGTCACTAAAATGGATATTTGTTGTACACACAGTTTAGGCTAAATATCCTGAAGGATCCTTTTCACTCTCGTCTCTGCCTTTGCCTACACGAGAAAAACCAAGATATTTTATATCGATGGGGTACACTTGCAACGATGCAGAAATATGGTCATTCACCCATTGGAATAAAACTTAGATGACGTCAAAATTGAGAGGGTTCCGGCCCTAAAGAGGTGGCCTCAACAAGACGGTAAGAATACGTTTGCATCTCCCGGGCGTGATCTTGTGAAGACATAATATTCTATGCAAGACAGAGCTTAACATGACGATACACCTTACCAGAAGGTTTCAGAATTGTTTGTCTTTTGTATTCTTAATTAACTTACAGATTTTGAGGACAAGTAACACATTCCATCAGCAATTTGCCAAGCAAACTTCATCAGCTGCTGTGACGTCAAATTTGTTTGCGGTTTAAAATCCGGGTCCTTGTAGTATGTGTCCTTTAATCCCCGGCTCTTTCTCAGGTAACCCAGTAGATCCCCAAAAGGCACATATTCAATCAAAACCAACAGCTGTTCTGAAGAAATTAAACAATTTAATTGATAAATTACTGAAAAAAGATGAAATTTCAATAAATAAAATCAATAAATAGCCCAATTATGATCAATACTCACGAAAACAAGATGGTTTTACCAAGAAAAGCTGAAAAACTATGTAATGTTCTCTCAAGAAGAAACGGACTAAATATTCCCTTACAACAAGCGTTTCTGCTTGTTTGCTTTCTAGCCTGTTCAGTGGCAAATATTTGGTCTTAGGCTATCAGTAAATCCAGGAGCGTCTTTGTTGGCTAAAAAATATAAAATTACCTTATACCAGGGTTGTTTGTCGTGCTCAACGGTGAAGCAGTGAATCTTCCATTAAAGCAAATTATCAATGACTAGAAAGCGTTTCAGAGTAAACCATAACCAAAATGTGTACAGCAAAATTAGACCCGCATAACCAAAGCATACCAGATTCTGTAACACATCCCAGTAGTTTAATGACGTGAGGATGTGGTTTCAGCTGCTTCATTGTGTCAAGTTCATTCATCAAATCTCTCTTGTCCGATTCAGCTGCGTTTGCTGGAGCATTAAAAACAAGGAATAAAAATTGGTTAACGGGAATAACATGCGAAATGCCGAAATAAGTTATGATATGGCAAATAGCTAAAAAATTACGGTAACCCGGTAACATTTCCTGAATGACTGTACGCCAAGACTGTTATTCTATTTACAGTATAAGAGCTCACTTTTAAGCATCTTAATAGCCACTGTGGTCGTTTCGGGACTCCCTCGAAGTCCTACCACTGTTCCCTTGGCAACTTGACCAAAAGCACCTTTACCAATGATTTTTTCTATGGTCACGTGGTGTCTTGGAACTTCCCAGCAGCGTGCTAACGGATGAAGAGGCACGTAATCGGCACCTGAAGCGGTACTTTGTGCTTTTCTATTATCTTTGTTGACTTCTATGAGATCCATGTATTCCGCAGGAGGCTGAGTGAGTTTTCTCGACTCGGGTATAGTTGGTTCGATATCATCTAATCCTGTTTCATTCTATTAAACCAACATACCGTTAAGGTATCCATATATAAATCTGTTATTAATCCCGGTAAAAAGTCCCACATGGTTATAAAAATCAGTTTACTCATGGTTTATCACACAAAGATTTAAATCCTTCCCTAACAAGAGATTACAAATGGTTTACTATCTCTTGTCCTTATCATTATGAACATTTACTATTATTAACGGTTTTTTCCTCTGCTTTTGAAACTGTTATGTCCAATGGAGTGATCGAGGTTCATAGCATATTCGCCGAAGCTACAACATGGAGATTTACGATTGGTAGTGCAATTTTTGAAAAATGCACGCACGAAAAAAAACTGTAGCTGTTATCAGTTCCTAAATTAACGTTTAGAAAGTAAGGCATCAAGAAAATAAGAAGGCCAAAAATGCGCAAAAACAATTATTTAGAGAGCAAATATCAACCGGGTGCAGACCAGTTAGCGATCTACGAAGTGAAGCAGCCAAGTTAAACCAGGGAAAACCGAAGGCAAATCCGTGGAGTATCTTGGTTAAGGACATGATCCCAGGACAAAGACTTTATTGAGTCTGACTTCCTTCTATTTCATTGTATCTGCCACAAATGCAATATGCTTTTTTGTTGTAGAACTACGCCTTTTTTCCTTCTTGTTTGCTGCAAGCGTTTAATTTCTTATAGAAAGTAGAAGTAAAGCGAGATTACGTAATTTCTGCAATGTCCTGGCTCTTACTTACGTCATAATCACCTCTTTCATCTTTATAAGTCCTACAATTGAGAAAGCATACAAATATTTACAAAAAGCTGAGAATTTCATCAGCTTTAAGTAGAATTGTTTTTGTTACGATGAAACCATATCTGTTACATGACATCGACAAAATCCAACTGGCAGCAAATTCTTACCTCTCTTTCCCTACAGCGCCTAAAAAAGAACGAAAGGAAAAAAAAGACAAATGATGCGGATGTGGGTCAAAATTTGCTTTCGCTCATAAATGAATCTTGAAGCCAAACCCTCTATCATAAATAATGATTTTTTACCTACCTTTCCTGTGTAGCCAGATTATGTAAATAATTAGAAGAAGGATTGTGAAGGCAAGAACCCCAATTATGGCTAACAAGACGTTGTTAGATGGGCAGTTACATTCCTCAGGACCTAAAATGAGTTATTTTACAAAGCTTGATGAAATAACATTCAAACAACATTAACACTGATCCTGGTCGATACACTGCTCTCACTACATAGCTTAGACTTATGACCGAAAAACGTTTACTCTAATTGGCTTGGTACGAAGGAAAAGTAAGGTGTTACTCTCTCTATAATAATTTTTAAAAGTAGGATTTTGTTTAGATGAACAAAAGCAACAGCAACGGCAAAAAAAAAAACCTGGAAATATATCACTCACAGAAATGAGTTTTTGAATTAAACAGATACGGAATACAATTAGAAAAAGTCCGTTTTCGGAAGAATATGTGTAAACATTTAACAATTTCTTTGTAAAATTTACCTTTTGTTGTGCTTTCCGAGCCGTCTGTGGATATAGAAACCTGCTTAATTGAGTCTGGATTGACTTTAAAACCTCCGAATTTGTCTTGCCTTGCAGCATCCGACAAGACAATTAAAACATTGCTAACGACTACACTGTGATTGAACCTCATCATGAAGTCAAGAACGACACTGCCACACCTAGATAAGGAGGGAAGCAAAGAGTATCATCACACATATTTGTACTTTAGTGACTTTTAAGTGTTAAAATACATTGAACTGTAACCAAAAGAGTACTTTTTATGTTATAAACCAAGGTAAATAAAATTAATTCATGTCATTCTGTGTCATTATATTTCTGTACACTAAACAAAATGCACTTCAAATGCAAATTATTTCCAATTAAATAAGATTTTATAAAGCAGAAAAACCAGTTTTCACGCTAAAATACGCCACTATGAGATAAAGCCCCCCCGTTGGTTTTTTTAGTGTAAAAAACAAATTGTACCTTACCTGGTGTTCACAGTGTTGGCGGATGAGCAGCCAAACCTAAAGGCAATTTGACAAGCCTAAAAGGACATATAAAGAAAAAAAGGATTTTCAAATGCATGCTTGTTACATATTGAAGATCGTTCAAGATATCATATTTTTTTTAATAGAAATATTAAGATTTCATTCAAGAACAGAATCTTATGGTAGTATTACATTTTCTCTGGTATATGGATCGAGTAGATTATCTAACCATTTCTGGAAATTTCGCAGCAACTTCTGTACGTCTGCTACAGTTCTCCTTTATTGTCGCTGTCAGGTAAACGTCTGTGCTTACTGTTTGAACAGGGAAAAACAAAATACGACTTAAAATGAACGTTTGTTTGTATGTATAAGAATTATCATTTAAACTCATGTATAAAACAGCCTTTACTTACAAAAAACACTCACATAAACTGTACGGTTAGGAGGGCCAATTTGAGAGGTTTTTTTTTCGTGAGTTCTGTTCTGAGTTCAATTTTTGGTATTTTTCAATTTCTGCCAGAAATTAACTTGCAAAACAACAATACTAAGAGCTAAAGCTTTTCCAAACGGACAAAATTGTTATAATTTGAGTTCGTCGAGAAAGATTTTTAAGTGCAAATAGGCTGGAAATAGAGAGAGAGAGCGACTACAGACAGAAAGAACTTAAAAGAACTTTATGGCTTCACCGAAGAAAACCAGTGAAAAGATTGACAACCTCTCTGTTCGCAGCGTGAGGCTACGTGATCATACATCCTTAATTTAAGTTCTCGTGGTTCAGAAATTAAGGCGCGAACAGGGGGCTAAGTGCAAAGTCGCTCTCATCGGTATAAAGAATAAAGTGCCGTGGTGATGAAAATGAGAGGAAAGGTCTCTGAATTTAGTGTGGAAGGGTGAAAATGTTTTTGTGGGAGAGAGGCATCAACTGAATGATGGCGGCAAAGGAAAGGAAAAAGCAGTCAATTTAAGTGTGAGAAGATAAAACTGAAGTTTTGCAGAGTTCTCTGTCCGGATTCAGATGAGCATGTGTCAGTAAACTCCCCAAAATACCTGTGTGCCAGCCAATAAATAAAATCTCATTTAATAGATATGCCATATCCTTGCAGTTGGCACACAAATATCAACTGCGACGTAAGTGAAATGTTTCTCATTGATACAGGTTTTTGCAAGCGAATAATTCACCCATAAAAACCTCGATGCTGATGACATAGAGAGTGCTTGAAAACTAAGTAAAGAAAAGGATAAACCGTTGAAAGAGGAAAATAAAATTCATTTGTACATACTTCCTTCTGCCTTGACTTGCTGGACATTCGCTTTGTCTTGTTTTAGGCTTTCACCAAGCTCATTAGTTGCAGTAATGGCAAACTGATACACTTTTCCTCTCTCCAATGCTATTTTCAATTCTCTCACAGAAACATCTCTGATTCTCCTTATTTCTGTCCACTGTCCCACTTTCCCATCAGTCACTACCCTTTGGTACACTGAATACATGATAACAACTTTTCCATTACTTTCTGGCTCCTTCCACTTTAGGGTAATTGTATCGTCTGTCGTTTCACCTGGCAGGTCGTCTATTTCGACCACACCTGGGGCTCCTAGATTGACGTCAACAACATGACCAGTGTGAAATTTCTAATAATTATTCAACTTCTTGATAAAAACCTGGTCACAACTCTTGTCGGTGATAAGATAATCTGTGAATTGGTGGAGGATTTTTTGGGATATTTTTGAAACGAACGTGTATGGCAAGCAAAATTAATTGAAGAAATTTAAAATAATTTTAAAGGAAAAAAAGTGATGATAGTCGATTGTAGCTTAAAACAAAATGCATTCATTTGTGCTACGTTATTACAGAAAGTTTGACATCGCGCAAGACTAAGTACAGACACTCGGCCATGACACAGCGGGAAAATGAGTACGCATGCTCTGCATCTCGAGCCATTTAAGCGTTCAGGGCTACGATTCTTCTTCAGCAAACATAGACTGACGCGAGTTTTTCCGCCGAGAAAACAAACTTTTCTCTACAGGGGGTTTGCCAACTGAGGAAACAATGACAAGAAGCGCTAAAGCGATGACAGGTGCTACGAATTTTGTAGCCATGTTCAACTTCTCAACTTCTGTTACTAAATTCACGCCTGTTGCCACAATACTTTTTTTGTTGAGTGAGATATGTGCCGGATGAAGTTCGACAGAAACTTTCCTGAGAAAGACAACCTTATTTGTTTTGGTTTGGGCCTATCCCTGCGAAATGAAAACAAGCTATGGTATTGAGAAGACAATATATACCTAGGAGTATCATTTTATTGACGGTATCTCGGACTTAATTTGGTTCTTCAACTGCTCATTTGTAAGTCCGTGACAAGGTTTGAAACAAACCAAACTTAGCTTTAACACAAGAAGTACTACATGTGTAAAACATGCAACGGAAGGTTTTGAAGGTTTTGTTTAATGTCAATAAATTAAGTAGAAATTCTGATGGCTATGGGAGCTAAGGAGGTTGAATTCTTTTGTAAAAAAAAACATTGTAAAAACTGATGTAACTCACAACAAATCTAATCAATCGTGCTCAGTAACGAAATCACTTGTGATTCCTCACCTTCAAACTTGGTCCTAATCGTCCTTACATTAGGATCTCCCTCGAACACAAAATTTCTGGAAAACAGTTTCACCGTGTAGTTTGTATTTCTCTCCAAACCACGCAACGAATAAGTTGTCGTTCCAGGATCGGTGATATTATCCTTTTTTTATCTCAGTTTCACCCTTTTGTAAGATCATTCGGTATCCTGTAATCGGACTTCCTCCATCATCAGCTGGTGCAGTCCATTGTATTATCATAAAAGTTGCTTGAATGACTGACTCTGATGATTTTAAAGATGCTTTCCCTGGTTTCTCTACAAGGTGCCATAAAAAAAAGGATCATTTTGAGCAAAAGAAAGGAAGGAGAAATTTCTTTTTGTGATAACCTCATAGTGAGTTTCGTCACAATACTTAGGATGAATGCAAGTCATTGTAATATCACAGTTTAATGAATATACATGTAGCTACCGGATAAATTTAGCCAAAAGTCAAATAAAAAGAGGAAAAAATTAATTTTTCATGGCTGAGGAAATTTCCTATGGATACTCGCATAGGAGGATGTCATCAATCTGCCTGAAGTTCAATGCTCTTTTGTAACGTGTTTAATGCTACCAAAGGGCACGCTGTAGACAGTTTACCGTAAATCTTTCTAGAAAATATGGGTGCATTTTCCACAAGAGATCAGGCTGACTATATCAGGCATAATTCCAGTATAACACCATTATACCTCACTGAGGTAACGTACGCGAAAAATATGTGGTCTTACTCTGCTAAAGAGGGGAAAATGCGAACGGAACGCTTAGATAAAGCCGTAAGATATATTTTGAAAGCTAAGCAGCGGTTAGAAAGTGAAAGAAGAGTAGATTATATGAAAGTATTATAAGTTGAACTATCGAATAAGATGAACAAGGTGAATGAGTTACCCTGTCGAGTACTTTGAAAGAAAATGTGGCTTTTACTTTTAATACACCTGAAACAGTGATAAAGAGTAAAGGCAAAAGAATATGCTGACCTAATACCTAATTTTCCTCTTATCAAAATAAAGTGATCTTTTTTTACTCACTTATCTGATTTATCGTTATCAATTTCTCATGAGATGGAATCTGTCCATTAGCAGCAATGCACTTGTAACGACCAAAATCTTGATCATCCCTAAGTGGCACTTGTATTTTGCTTTGTCTGGCTCTGACTCTCTTTATTTGACTTCCTTCAGGTTTGTACCAAGAGAGTGTTGGCGTGGGAACACCATCAGTAAGACACTTTAAAGTCACTATCTGGCCAATCCAAGACTTCTTAGATGACGTGGTGACATTTTGAATTGTGGGCGAGTCTAAGAATAAATAACAATGCAATAAGCAAATGAATAAATATTTGGTGGTCTTTCATATCAATCAGAATATTAATGAGCTTTATCATTCCACTACTGTGTCATTTTACCAAATAAGGTCCTGAGAATGGCGAAATATGCCACAGTATTACACTTAAGAACATGACAAAAATACGTAGCAACATATTGGCCGCACTAAAAAATCCAAACTTTGATTTTTTTTTTCGTTTTTTAAATTTGACAGTCAAAGAATCGAACTTTTGCGCAAGAGAGAACTCAAAGAACACTTTACTGGTTTAGTTCAAGTTCTTTTCGTATTTCGCGTACACCGCCTTATGCGATCGATACAATGCACAGATAAGGCCGATGGAATTCGCATACTAAAATTAAATACTAAAAACTGAAAGCAATAGTGGAATAATAAATCCCTTGTTCCATGGTTTAACATATAATACGGGCGGAAATTTTGCTCATTACTCGTATTATTTCTCACCTCTTCAGGGCTAGGAAAAATTACTTTGCAACTAGTATAGGGTGTATTTATTTTTTTCTCAGAGTGCACACTAACGAATCCTGCAATCTGATGGGTTCTTAGCGCAGTCTGTATTTTGATATATCTGCTCACGGGCACCGCAAACACTTTCGTGAGTCGCAGAGTCATCCTTGCCTTCGTTGCCATTCTTCATGAATAAATTTCGTTTTGCCAGCTGGGCATTATTTTTAAGCAAAGACGTGGGTCACGACCTCAAGCCGATAAATAAT